TGGTAAGAGGAATCATCGTTAATAATCACGAAAAGGTTTGTGTATTTTGTTTTAATGGTATTAAGGATAGTTCACACGTTTTTTTTCACATACCCGCTAATTAGGTTGGTATGGAAAATGGTGGCTGATTGGGTTGGTATTCCTTGGAGTAATGAAGATAATTGTTGTGAGCATGTTTTTGCATGGTGTTTGAGTTTGGTTGGGAGGTGTTGAGTATCGTCAGTATGTCTTATATGGTTCATAAGTTGCTGGTGCATTTGGTGGTTTAGAAACCAGGTTCTCTTCAATGATGAAATTGGAAGTGTAGATGTTATCTTTCACATAATTATCCTGGTCTTCTGGAGGTGGTTGGTTTTAGGGGAGTCACAACCGGTTCAATGTAATAACTATAAGTGGTATAAATATCCCACCTATTTTTTGTAGGCCAAAACTTTACTGTTGAATTTTGTATGTAACTGTTATTGGTGGGTAGGTGCCCCCTTTGGTCTCCTTTATTTGTTAATATATATATATATATAATTCTTGCTTATAAAAAAAACAAATTAAAAACTGAAATAAAAGTCACATACTTAATTAGATTATCCTAAAGATTCTTGAAATTCATAGTGTCCAAATTCCACATGAGTATCATTTAAAAGGCTTAAAATCATTCCTTTGCATGCAGCTAGTATAATAACTTTATGAGATACTGTTCGAACTGCAGTAAAAGCGGCAAGAAGTAAAAAATTAGTTTTGAAAGAATTTCCTCCGGGATTTATATCGTTTCCACAGGGATTAGTGCGAGGAAAAGAACGTCGTTCAACGGTCTCAACATTTCTAAGCTTGTGGTGCAAAAGTCTGGTTGAAAGATTTTAGGCACCAAAAATAAAGGCAAAAAAGATAAAGACTGAAAATATAAAGTAAAGACTGAACTATAAACGGGGCCTTGATGGGATTGGATCTCATCAAATGATAACACATGCATTCTTCTAAGCATGTTACATAACTCAAGTGTTCGTTTAATATCATCATGTGTCACACACAACAGAGGTTATGTCTAACGTAAAGTTGAGGGGTCAACCGTATTGTCTCATCGGTGATATCTCACACAACAAAACCAACATAGAGCATTAAGAACGGATACTTACGTGAATGTTAAACCTAAATCTATGTTTAGAGTTTAGACCCAATAGATATTACTATAACATCCATATCAAATTAATGATTTGATTCATATATAATGTCATTATCAGAATACATACACATGATTAACCCTTTTTTTACATGCATTCACCTAATTTTCCAAATATATGTGAACATCGTTCTTCATCACTATCATCACACATTCTTGCAATACGGTTTGTCAAGCGTTATCACGGTCTTTATCTTATTGATCCTACTCATGCAACTCATACTACTTAACCAACACAATAAAATAAATGTGATGCAAATGAATATCAACTCACAAAACCATGTCAAAAGTTTGCTCATTGATAGATGAAAATCTTAGATCAAAGATTTGAAAAAGGTGTTGTCAAGACCCACAAATATGAAATCAAAGACAATCAACAATAGAGAATCAAAACTAGTTCGGAATACATAAATTAGACGAAATAAATAAGGTATCAAAAGATTACATCCAAACCCAACAAGAGATTGAAGATCTTACCTTCTTCCCCTTAGGGCTTGAGTTTCTCTCTCTAAAATATGCTTGAAATGAAGAGAGATAAAAAATTTTGATATGAAAATATAATATATGAAAAGTTGTTTTCTAAAAAGCAAGAAAAATACATATATAGTAAAACAAAAATATGTCATGTTCGCACTGCGAACCCTTTCTTCATCCAGTGAACACACGTTTAGGCACTTGAAGTGCCTCTAAATAGTTAAACTGCCCTTGAGAAATATCTGAAGTTCGTTGTACGAGCAATTCTTTGCACTACAGACTACCTCGCTACAAGTTTGGACATCGAACTTAGGGTCCTTTAGCTACCGAATTCAGTCTGGGATGGTTCGTTGGTCCTTCGCTGCATGTTCGCACAACGAACATTCGCTTCTTGTTCTCACATCAAACTTTTTGGTTCTTCTTCACTTCTTTGTATTCCTTGTCCAAATCACTTGTGTCTTAATCAATGATGTTTTATGCCTAATTTCTGCACAATAACACACACATCAAAGAATCCAAAGGTATTTGCAATATAATTGAAGAATCACCCAAGAACAATAATTAAATCTATAAAAATATGAGAAATGAGTTGAAAAGTGTCAAGAAAGATAGTTCATTTTAAGTCAAAATTTGCACTTAACAGATACTAATAAATTTACTTTAAATTCATTTTTATTCTTCCTATTTTAATATTCTTAATTTTTTGCGTTCTTTAAAAAAAATCAATTTTTTGATCCCCGTAATTCACATTCATTGTTTTTTTTTATCCTCCAACACAAGGCATAATTTTAATGACATGATAGATACTATTTTATACCACATGTATAAGGAGATGACATGTCATATTAATTTTGTTTCTGAATAATATTTTCAATTTTAATTGGATAAATAATTAAATTTAAATTTGTAAAAAAAAAAATCTTAAATTAAAATAAAAAGGTAAAGTTAAAGTCATTAATATTTTGTATTTAAATAATGATAAATATATATACTATATTTCTAAATCATGAATCATTATCATATAAATATTCATCTTCCAATTTCAATGCAATTTTCAATGCAGTGTTCAAGAGTTTACAAAACTAAATTCAAAATTAAATCATCAAGAAATGAATTACAGTCATAAATGCATCACAAATCATCATTACAGGATCAGTTTCTAAGGAATTGAAAAACAATCAAGTAACATGGGGTCACTAAGGATTTTATAGTGCATACCTTAAATTTTAAGTGGTTGTTACTGTTCCAAGAATCATGCGAGATTAAATCAGAAGTTTAAGTTACTCAGAAGTCATTATAAAAGCAGTCTAAATCTAGTTCATTTTCATCAACATCCATCAGAGTCATGGAAGCATCAGCTGAGAGTCATAAGACTTATGTAGTAATATAAATATTCCAGAGCTCTACGAGACAAGATGTCCAAGACATTCAGAAACGAGTTGTTTCTGAATCATCTACACTAGGTCTTTGCCCTCTACAAGACCCATTTCTGAAGAAGCAACGTCAATAACTCCAACACAACCTACAGGAGTAGGTTCATCAAAAGTTGTGATGAAGCCTAGAAGAAGGGCAATGAAGAGATCAAAGAAGACAAGACGGTCCAACAAGTTGTTCTACCATTCATTCCCAGAGGAAGAAGATGAAGACATTGATGAAGATGAGCTAGACATAGGTTATAACAACTGTTATCATCATTAGGCTCCAGATGACTTAGATAAGGACCTATACTAAGCATTAACAATTTCTTATAAATCAATGTTTTTGTAATCCTTTGCTTCAATTAATGAAAAAGTATATTTTTTGACCAAATTTTGTTTATTGCATGCATATACTTTCAATAACTTCCTTTAGATTTACTGAAAGACATTAATGAAGTAAAACTGACACCAGAAACGACAGTTAAGCAAGTTAAGTTTAAAATTCATAACTGTTAAAGAATCTTTAATAGGTTAGATTCACTACAAGAAAATTAGAGTTTTACGACACAAAAATTGTGACAGTTACTTGATAACTGTCGTAACTCTAATATAGAGACGCGTTTCACGACAGTATACACCTACCGTCCTTATATTTTTAAAAGATTATTAAATATTACGACTGTTATCATTAAGCCGTCCTACAAATAAGTTCATGACTGTCTCAAGTGTCGCCCTAAATTTTATGTCCCGACGGTAGAACAACTGTCGTCCCTTAAACCCAGTAACACAAACTATAACCAATGACGGATCTAAATAAGTCTATGTATTTTAAATAAATAAATGACTAAAATCATTTATAAAATAGAATTATAGTAATAAATTAAACTTAAAATACATAAAAATGAAAATATTATATATACTCAAAATAAAACTTTAATTTTAAAAACAATTTTTATAGTAAAAATTAAATTCAAAATATTATATCCAAAATTAAAGTATTAAAATTAAATTATATATCAAAATTTTATAAACAATTTTTATAATAAAAATTAAATATAAAATTAAACTATATATACTCATAATCATAATATTATAAAATATCAAATAAACAAAATAATTCAATTAAAATAGAGAAATAAAAAATTTTATTAAAATAAAACTGTATTATGACCGGAAGCTACCGTCGTTATCGTTAGTTTAAAATTGTCAAAATTTCATCTGTGACGGTGATATCCAACCGTCGTGCTCCAAAATTTCATCTGTGACGGTGATATCCAACCGTCGTGCTCCAAAATTTCATCTTCCCGCAAAAAATGAGAATTATTTCCACGAATTTTTCACTTCTTTTTAAGAATTTGCCGCTCACGTCCTTGCAGATTTTAACAACCACTCATCCATCTTCTGATAGATCATGAAAATTTTTTATTTCTATTTTATGAATCAATCTCTTTTTCTCTCTCGTTTTCCTCGTTTCAGTTATTGTTGTTGTATAATTTCAAATTTTTAGGTTTTGTATAATTTCAAATTTTTAGGTTTCCTTCGTCGACTCCGCGATCCCCAAATTTCAATTTGGGATAATCGATTTTCTTTTTCGTTTCGTTATTGTAATACTAGTAATACTCAAACAACCTATTAAATCTCCACCTTTCAATTACAATCACAACCTTAAAACAAAAATATCCAACACTTTCAACTGACTCAAAACACGACACTTCCATAACATTCACGTGATCACTCTCACAGAATCATAACCATGCGACAAACACTGCCATGTTCCCAAATCACGAGCTCTCTTCCTGATCTTACGTACAACTCACCATTTCAATCTCACTTCTCTCGAGGCAAAAAGGTTTCACTTGCTTCCTTTTAACTGAAGATCCATTCAAAAAGTTTCAAACTTTGTTCTTTCCCACTACTAGAATCAGCCTTTTTGTTACATGGAAGGTGTTAAAGTGATTACTTGGCTTGTTTTCTTGATTTTTCTATGGAGTTTGGTGTCATTCGTTGTTGAGGGTACTGAAAGTCTTCTCTCTCCAAAGGGTGTCAACTATGAAGGTTTTTTCATTCACATTTTCTCAAAGTTTATTCCTTTTTATAGGTGAGAGATTGTTTGAACTAAATTGGTTTCAGTTTTATACATGTTTGTTTAGTGACTTCTTTGATGTCTATGAAGAGTAAGATGAATGATGGGTTGCATGTTATGGATGGTTGGGATATTAATTCGGTTGACCCTTGTACTTGGAACATGGTTGCTTGTTCTCCTGAGGGTTATGTCATTTCCTTATAAGTGTTTTTCTGGTTTATATCACTTAGTTTGTGTTTGGTTATGGGTTCACAAGAAATTGATTTTGAATTAATTGATTATGTAAAAGTGAGTTCAATAGACTAAAGTTCAATTCTAGAGGCAAAATTCCATTTTCTAGCTTCAATTGTAAAGTGTCACGAGAAAGTGTCTTTCAACAATCAACTTGCTTTCATAGCATTAGCCTTTTGACACTTTTGGTTTTCTAACCGGTGAATCTGTTACTGAGAGTACAAAGGCTCAGGCTATGAATGTTTTGTCTTTATGGCCAATGGATGTAATTTTTAAGAGAATTGGTTTTGCCATCTAAAAAGGTGTAGTGACGCATCTTATTGCCTGTTTGCCTGTTATTTCTGTATAATCTTGATTATTAAACATATATATTGTCAGGGAAATGGTCAGTGCAGGTTTATTTGGAATAATTTCCTCAGGAATTGGAAATTTGAGCCATCTTCGAACATTGTGAGTTACTATTTGAATGTTCTGCACTTACTTTATTTACAGTTTTGTTAGGAAATGTGGAAAGTTTTTCTTATAAGTGAGTTTTTCCATTGTATTATCTTAGGTTTTTGCAGAACAATCAGTTATCCGGTCCTATACCGGTCGAGATAGGAAACCTATCAGAGCTTCAGACTCTTGATCTTTCTGGCAACCTTCTTACTGGGAACATTCCTAGTTCTTTGGGCTCCTTGACTCATTTAGTTACTTGTGAGTGTGGCTTGACAAATAGATTTAGCGACGATGATTCTTTTGTTATATAACATAACTCATCATTAGCCTTTCTCTAACCGTTAACTTCCTAATTTGTTCATGCCAAGAATTTCAGGCGGCTCAGCAAAAATAAGCTATCTGGACAGATCCCTCAACCTGTTGCTAATCTCACAAGACTTTCCTTCTTGTATGCGCTCTGTCGCAGTTTTGTGCGCATTTATTTTCCTTTTAAATACTTATAATTTAGTTTAATAACCCTTCTACATGTTGTAGGGATTTGTCATTCAACAATCTCAGTGGTCCTACTCCCAAAATTTTAGCAAAAGGCTATAGGTAAGTTTTTCAATGGCATAAGATTCGACTCAAACTCTAGACTTCGAGCGTAAAACATTTTCGTATTCCATAGCTCGCGAACTGAGCTAGCTACGTTATATCTTTGTAGTATTTCAGGAAACAACTTTCTCTATACATCATCCTCACAACTTTGTATGCGCGGTTCAAAGCCGGTAAACGGTAATATACATTAATCTTGCATCTTTCAAAACCCTATTAAGTTAGTGAATTGAAATACAAATGAAAGATGGTTCACTTTCAGATACAAGATCTTCTCAAACAGTCAACAATCATCGTCACACGTTGATTTCGGTCATTATTGGCATTAGTTGCACATTTATAATTTCAGTGATGCTGCTCGTCTATTGGTTGCATTGGTACAAATCACGCATCCTCTATTCATCTTACGGTACTTCCAGAAACAAACTTCTTTGCTTTTTCATTCTCTTCAAAACATGCACATATTCTGATATGTATTGATTGACATTTAAAGTGGAGCAAGATTGCGAATTCGGTAGTGGTCATTTGAAGAGGTTCTCCTTCCGTGAACTGCAAGTTGCTACTGGAAATTTCACTTTGAAAAATATCGTAGGACAAGGTGGTTTTGGTGTTGTATACAAAGGATGCCTTGCAAACAAAATGTTGGTGGCGGTAAAGAGGCTGAAAGATCCCAATTATACCGGAGAAGTGCAGTTTCAAACTGAAGTTGAGATGATTGGCTTGGCTGTACATCGTAATCTCTTGCGTCTTTATGGATTTTGTATGATACCAGATGAAAGGTTACTCGTTTATCCATTAATGCCGAACGGAAGTGTTGCTGATCGCTTGAGAGGTTTGTAATATTCCCTTTGCTACGATCTAGTGTACTGTCCCTAAAGTTTAATAGATTTTCTCGTTTCTCTTATTCCTAAGCAGAGAGTTTCCGTGGAAAGCCATGTTTGGATTGGAACAGGCGAACACGCATTGCTGTTGGAGCTGCACGCGGGCTTCTGTATTTGCACGAACAATGCAATCCGAAAATAATCCATAGAGATGTTAAGGCCGTAAACATTTTGTTAGATGAAAGTTTTGAAGCCGTGGTGGGAGATTTCGGTCTTGCTAAGCTCTTGGATCAAAGGGATTCACATGTAACTACTGCAGTACGCGGCACTGTAGGACACATTGCGCCCGAGTATCTCTCAACTGGTCAGTCTTATGAAAAAACAGATGTTTTTGGATTCGGTATATTACTTTTGGAGCTCATTACAGAATAAAAATCACTCGACGCTGGTAATGTTCCGGTCCAAAAGGGAATGATTCTTGATTGGGTAAGTTGCCTTAAATATTTTAAAGTTTGCATTGATTATAGATCATGAGTAAGTCGCTTAAATCAGTTAATCCTGCAGGCTAGAACTTTATTCGTGATAAGAGATTCAGAGTTAAACTTTGTGGTATATTTAAGTTGTTGGTGATTCTTATGTGTATTGAAGTTATGAAATCTGCATGTTTTGGTTTGGAGTGTGTCGTGAGCGTGCGGTTCACATTGTTTTTATTCATGTTATAACTTTATGACCACCTCTTTGTAAATAACTTGCAAGCTATATGAAGTCTTGGTATGCTGAAATTTGTGCAGCCTGCTTGTAGCTTTGTGTGGAATTTGTTAGCATAAAGATAATTAGCGTACGGTCGAGATTCAGAAGTCTTAGCGTTATCCGTATAGTTATGTTACTATTGTCTGTTATGATTGATCTGCACTTTGTATGATGCCCTGCTTTTGGATTTCAAGTTCTGTTCCATCATGTTAATGAATGTTACGGCATCGACGCTTAACGGTGATAATTTCAAGTTCTGTAAAACCTGGTGATTTACCAATAGCCAATGAAGTAAAAGCAGGGTATAATTCAAGCAGGTTGAGTGAGTCCAGTGAAATGGCAAGTGACGGTGGTTCCAACAGGCATGCTGATAAAGGACCAAAGAAGAAAAAAGGGAAAGCCACTGGAAATGCATTAGCAAATCAACCTGAAAGTGGTGCTAATAACCAAGAGCATACTTCTACCAAATCTAAGAAAAGCCAGCGAAGGGGTAAGGATACATCTTCACAAACATCAGATTCAAAGCAAGGTTCTGGGAAAGAATCACTTAAAATGAAAGAGGATAATCTCAGTAGTCCCTCAGAAGAATGGATCATGGAGAAGATTACAGCCTTGATTCCTGATTTTGAAGAACAAGGTCTGCTAATTATGACTTTGGATATACTCTTTCTGCATTAGCATTTTATCGAATTTCTTATATTATGTGCTACAAATTGATAGGTATTGATGATCCTGAAACGATTCTTAGGCCTTTGATGATCCTGAAACGATTCATAGGAAGGCATTGTTTAAAGACAATGCAGAAAGAATGAAACAATTGCTTGATAATTTGCAGAAAAAACTTGATGAGGTTTAACTGCTCTGTAGTATCTTTTTGTACTTTCTTCATCCACTGTGTCCATGTTTGTAATTTTTCTTATCTTTCCTTAGAGGATACTTATCTGAACATGTCCTTGTGTGATTTGTTTTTTGGCAGTCTTTCTTAAACATGCGTTTGTATGAAAAAGCCTTAGAATTGTTTGAAGATGATCAATCAACTTCTGTAAGTCAAGTTAATTGAAATTTGAAGATGTTATTTTCACTCTTGAATCAAGAGTAAGTTAATGTATCTTTGATGCCCAGGTTGTTTTGCATAGGCATTTACTAAGGATAGTAGCAGCTCCTATGGTTGACATGCTTCTTCATGACTTGGTATTAGATACATCAATTATTCTGTTGATATTTCTTGAGGTTTAATAAGATCTAAAAACACTATGGATTCATCCTTTTGCAGGATGAGCACAACAAATTAAAGAACGGAGTAGAAGTGCAGGAATCTCCAAATTCTGAGTCTATTTCGTTTAGTCCTGGAGATAGAGCTGCAATTGTAAGACTTGAGAGCAAAATATGAAATGATAATACTTTGCATAATGATGTCTATAATCAGAATCAGAATGAATACATTTTACAAGTTTAATCAAAGCAAACATAATTTCACATGATACTATCAATCTTAAGATGCAATGAATTCTATGATACAATGATGTTTAATTCTATTTTGAATGTGAACAATAGCTATATTAGGTTTTCAATATTGTAATGTTTATTTGATATTAAGTTTTGGAATTAATTTTATTACGCTAAAAAGCGATAGAAATTTTTTTTTAAAAAACTATAAATAAAAATATTATTGTATAAATAATTTAAAGAAAAAAATAATATAACTATTTTAGTAGATAATAATTTAAATAAAAGAATATATTATAAAACAATATAATACAATATATAAAAATTAATAATGAACCGTCAAGATATCACATTCACGACCATTTTAAACCGTCACAATCAACAATGGAAACAAAAATCAAAAGGATATTCACGACAGTATTTAACTGTTGCCATTTCCAATTTATGTCAGTTCCAACCAGTCGTGAAATAGAGTTCACGACAGTTCTAAACCGTCACAATCAATAATGAAAATAAAAATCAAAAGGCTAGTAACGACGGTCTTTAACCGTCGCTATCTCCAGTTTAGGTCAGTTCAAGCCCGTCGTGAAATATAACGACGGTTGTGTGTGACGGTTTTTTCAACCGTCGCTAAACAGCCTGGGGACACACGTTTCTGCGACGGTACTACAACCGTCGTAGAATGTAATTGGTGGTGGTTTTAACCGTCGTAACCTGCCAAAATAACCGTCGCAATCCATCGTTTTTCTTGTAGTGATTGTTAGATAACATTTACAATATATATCATTTAAGATATCGATAAGACTTAATCAATATTAAAACAACAAACACTTGGAACAATGTATGTAACACGTCTATATAAGAACTCATAGTATGCTTACTTTCATAATCACTTAATCCTCAAAACACCAAGATGTACAAACAAAAGCAAATATGGGTTCCAAATAGAGATTTCAGAAAGACAACCATACTGAATGCAACAACTCAAGAAAGTGAAATCAAAGCAGCAACTGAAGGATCTACTAACAAGAAGATGACATCTTAAGCTCTCACCTCTTCAACATCTTTTATGAAGACACACAGAAGAAGAAGATCTTCTGGGTCCAGACACAGAAATCAGCTAAGAAAAGAGGTTGTGAAGTTTGCCAAGGAAGAATGATAAGATTACTTAGATAATCTGGACATGTCAGATGATCCTAGGGAATACCTTAGGGCCAATCCAACAGACTATAATGTCTAAATAGTTTGTAATCCCTTCCTTTTTATTAATGATAAAAGTTGCAAGCATTAAGTTCTTACTCCCATTTCTTTTAATTCTTTTGAAAAACCATAAATGAATATAATCAACATTTAACTAAACAACAACATGAACAAACTTTGAATTAAAAATAAGATAACTTAATACAAAGGTTCTAACAATTACAAGACACAACTATGCAGAAAATCTAACATCAGAATCTTTCATAGATAACTTCAAACTTGTCTCTCCAAAATTTAGACAAATCAACCTCTAAACTTATGATAACTCCCTGCTGAACAAGTAATTCTGAAAGAACTCGTCTAAAAGGAATGAAGAAAATATTTCCCTTATGAAAGAAAGAAATAGTCTTATTCAAATAATCAAACATAACTAGAAGAAGATCAATCTGCAAGTTTGAATTGAGAAGTAAAAACAGATCTTTTTCAATAGGGTCCACAAGGTCTAAATTCTTATCCTTAAGGAGTAAGTTTAAATTTAGAATTTGATTCCAAACAACAGCATCAGGACGAAGATTTAAGATCACTGATGTATTAGATGAATTTACAAAGATACGCCAAGTAGGAATATAGTGTTCCCAAACAAGAGTTCCTGGAATTTCTCCAATTTCCTCACAAGTGATCACATTAGCAATCACTTTAGAGGTTAGTGTTATATAAACACCAATTACTTTATAAAGAATAGCACACTCAGAATTCAGCTCAAAAATGAAGATATTAATCCAAAACTCTTTGACAAGATCTAGATAAGTGAAACCACAAAGCATCTCAAAGTATCCATTCCATCCTTTTTCACACATAGTTTTTCAAAAGTTAAATCCTAACTTAAGCAACTCATCAAAATCCACAAACTTTTCATTGATGACTACCAGTTGATTCAAAGAAGAATTGACTAAGAAACTCATCTCAAATTTGGCTTGATCAGCACACAATCACAGAGAAAATAAAAAGAAAAAGAACTGAACAAGATTCTTAAAAGAATAAGAATCTTGTTAGAATAAGGACAAAATGATATTTCACAAGACAGGGGATATCGACAATAAGTATCCAAAAGAAAACATCATTACCCAAAGGTTTTTATCCAACAGATCTCTTAAATCCACCAAATGAATTTCACCTTTATGAAAATTTAAGTATTATAAAAGTCTTTGAAAAACCATTTAGTTAAACTGCTTTATTATAAGTAAAGAATCTTCTTCTGAATTTCAAAATCTGATAACTTTCAAAAGCTATCATCCATCGTAGTCTAGTAGAACTAGACTGAGAAAGAGAGATATATCTTGTTAGTCATAAGTTTCTAAGATTCTATTCAGAGCCAACACTTCCTCTTGACACAAGAGTCATGAGTGATAGATGAATATTGAATTATTTTCTTTGACAGCTAACAAATAGCAGTAACATCACAAAAAGTGAGGAAATTGTTTCCATAAATATGATCATCGTCTAACTTAATGAAATATTCAGTATAGATAAATACAACAGAGTTTCTTCTTAAATATTTCTGAAGATCCTTTTTCAAAACAGCTTCTCTAGAAATCTAACAGAAACTTTGTATTTACACCTACACATATATCTCATTGAATCAAAAGATAAGCCAGAAAAGAACAAGCATACCCTTTTTTTTTGTTATTTTTTTGGTCAGACACGTATCAGTATTCAGACTTTACTATAGAGTATGAACACCGCTTTGAGTGGATTTTGATTTAATGGTTGTTAAACCAATGACTCCATTAATCTCACCAAACTCAGCGCCTCTAGCACTTGAGTTTGGGTTGTGGGATCTTCTTCCATCAAATGTTGTAAACAACCTTTGATAAATGCCATGGAAGATACATCTGCTTCTTTCTTTGATATCTGCAACAAATACATTTAAATCATGACAGTCATAATTCTATGAGACCATACATAAAATTTCAAGCAAGCTTTCCTTCGCCTTATGCCACATTCTGATAGCAGTACCATGATTCATTCCAGAGTATCAATCTAGAATAACCATAATATGCACAAGATCTTGTTCTCAACAGAATCATTAATTTCATTGTCTTGACTCAAGACTTTGAGATCTTTGATAAGCAAAGAACCAGATAATTTTAGCTATCAGAGAATAGCATAAAACAAATTAAAGCATCATCAAATTGCCTGCGAAACACAAAGAAAAATTGAAGGTTTCTCATAGACTTGTTCTTTAAACCAAATTCCATGATGACCCTCAATCAAGGAGCAATGGAGTCGCTTAAGATGTCACATTAAAGATAAGAGTCCTTATTATCAAACATTGAAGCAAGATAGACTTGACATAATCTCTTTCTCTTCAATACTTGATTTTTATTTCAAGACTCAAATGCTTCTTCAGAAACAGTAATGACTGGCAGAGCCAAATTACTCTTTTATCTGAATCTTTCACTAATGGCATCTCCAAAAGAATATACAATGAATATTAACTAACATTAGATTCTGGTAGTATTTCTCCTTGCTTTCAGATCTTCAGAGGTAGCCCATTCAGCTGGTTAAGAAGTACTTCTGATAAGAAATATAAGTTCCTCATCATCAGACACTCCAAAGAACTAAAATTTAGGAAAGGAGATTCGTTAGATAGCTTTTCATCATCTAATTTCATTTCTTTCCTTCGAAGATTTGCAAGGCAGACCAACAGACCACAATAAATTCAAGTTGTATAACTTCTTGAATAACTTTGACCTCAGGTTTAAATCTAAACCAATCTTCTCATAATTTGCTTGAAAGATCAGATGAAGTGTAACTAGATAAGCTTCAAACTAACTCCCAAAACTCTAAGCACAAAGGTTCAAAGATAGTTCGAGCATCAGATATATCAATGATGTTGACATACTCAGAAGTGAGATAGAGCACCTATCGGAATGCAACTACCTCTGAAGATATTGAGTAAGCTTCTTTTGAGCTGGTGATAGAGACTTACAAACAGATCATGTCTACGCCATCAACTTCTATAGTAATACCTTTTTCAAGGATATTCTATAGACCTTCAGAAACCTCTTTTATCAAGACCAATGAGTTAAAAATATGTTTTACTTTTCCATCATTTAAATTTAGTTGAATCACCCTTTTAATATGGTAGGAAAAACAATATGATATTTTTCATTTGGCACTTGATTCCTTATTGAAGGAAAGTCTTTGATAGACATACTTTTCTTATTGGATCATTATCTGCGCTACTGTCAAGTGCTATACACAGACCATGCTCTGATACCAAATGAAGGTGAGCAAAGTACACAAGAAGAGGGGGAGTTGAATTGTGTTTTCCATTTTCTTATTTTGCATTTAATCAGAGTTTAGAATCTAAACTGGTATTCAGATTATGGTTAATTTTTAGCAGCAGAATGTTAATAAAAGCAAATAAATAATAGCAGAAGACACAAATATTTATACTGGTTCCTCCTCTAACTGAGACTAGTTCAGTTCTCTTGCTTCACAAGAGATTTTCACTATAATCAAATCCTGATTACAATATCTTATCCATTCTTCATAAGACTTTTACACTTGATCATACCCAAGGTCCAAGACTTCTGCTCAAGCTCCTCACTCGAGACTTCCTGCTCAGGTTCCACAAACTAATACTTCCTTGCTCAGGCCCTCAACCCAAGACTTATGCTCCAAGTCCCATGAAATGAGCCTCTCTGCTTGCACCCCTCTGGTCAAGACGTACTGCTC